TGAGGAGTCTTGTCTTCCTATTGGATGGGGCTGTTTTCTAGTGCATAAAGTCATCCTACGGGTGGTACTCATCGAAAAACATTCTTTTCGATGTTGGCCTGAAAATGAGTAGGAGCCTGCCAAGCAGAACTCTGGGTAATGATCTTGTCACAGAGACATGAAAGGACCTCACACATCCAGGGAAGGATGAGATCAGGGCTTTGGATTTTCTCCAGTAGAGTTTGGGGAACCAAAAGTATTTTTTAATTATTATTATCATTGAAGTATAGTTGACACGCAATGTTACATTAATTTCAGGCATACGGCATTTTTTGGTGTTGAGTTGTAGAAGTTCTTTATATATATCGGATGTTAACCCTTTGTCAAATATGTTATTTGCAAATATCTGCTCCCATTCAGTAGGTTGGTTTTTTGTTTTGTTAATGATCTCCTTCACTGTGCAAAAGTGTTTTATTTTGGTGTAATCCCAATAGTTTATTTTTGCTTTTGTTTCTCTTGCCTTAGGAGACACAAATATTGCTATGGCTGATGTCAGAGAAATTACTGCCTACCTTTCCTTCTAGGAGTTTTATGGTGTCAGGTCTCACATTTAGGTCTCTAATTCATTTTGGGTTTATTTTTGTGTGTGGCGTAAGAAAGTGGTCCAGTTTCATTCTTTTGCATGTAGCTGTCCAGTTTTCCCAACACCATTTATTGAAGAGACTGTCTTTTCCCATTGTATATTCTTGCCTCCTTTGTTGTAGATTAATTGGCCATATATATGACCATATATATATACATACATATATATATATGTATGTATATATATGTATGTATATATATATATATATAGGTTTATTTCTGGGCTCTCTGTTCCGTTCCATTGATCTGTGTGTCTGTTTTTGTGTGTGTGTGCCAGTACCATTCTGTTTTGATGACTGTGGCTTTGTAGTATATCCTGAAATCTGGAATTGTGATACCTCCAGCTTTATTCTTATTTATCAAGATAGCTATGGCTTTTTGAGGTCTTTTGTGGTCCCATACAAATTTTAGTATTATTGTTCTAGTTCTCTGAAAAATGCTGAGCCAACCATATTTTTTAAGCATGGGAGCACTTTCATTTTTTAGGAGGTCAGTTCTGTGAGGAGTACAAGGTGAATGACAAGGGGGACAAGCAGATCCGGAGGAGAGGAGAGGGGCTGCCTTAACTATGACAGTGAGGCTGGGAGGGAGAAAAGGCAGAGGACCGGGCAGGGAGGTTCCCAAGGTGATAAAAGGGGAGGGGTGGACTTCAGGGTTTTAGGAATGAGGCACAGACTGTAGAGTCACCCTTGTAAGGCATAAGCACGTAAGATGTGGAGTTGAGGCCATGGATGTGAACAGAGCACCTGGGGAAGGTACCGAGCAAGAGAAAAGAACCCGGCATGCTAGTCGGCCAGTAGAAAAGCGTCAGTGATTCAGTGACGATAGTTTGAGTGGAGTACTCTAGATGGAAGTCACAGTGTAGTAGAATGAGGTTTAAATGAGCATTAAAAGAAACAGTGGCTTTTATCCCAGTTACACATTAGAATTCTCTGTTAAGGCATTTTTTTTTTACGTATCATTGCCTAGATATTCTGAGTTAATTGGTCTTCTTGAGGGCCCAAGAACCAGTCCTATTTTGAAAAGTTCCCCATATTAAGAACCACTGCCCTTGAAGTATAAATGGAAGCCTCAGCAGCCAGCAAGCATCTGATGAGAGGTTTAAAAATCACAAGGGGTTTAGAGAAGTACCCAAACATATTTTCAGTGAATAACCTTTATATGATTAGACAACAATTAGAACTATCTGACAAATAGTAGAAAACCAGGTGGGTAATGCTAAGCGTTAGTGTGGCCGTGGGGCACGGGGACTCTCGTACCCCACTGGTGGGTGGGTGGACTGGTACAGACATTCGGCACAGCAGCTTGGGCAAATTGGCATCTTGGGTACACCCTAGGAAGCGGCATTTCCCCTGCGGAATGCCTAGGGAGTTCTGCCGCAGGTCCGTAAGCTACCATGCACTCGCATGTTCCACTGCAACCTTGTATAGAGTGAGGAGAGCTAGAGATAATCTGAGTGGCTTTCCTGGGAGAGTGGATTAGGTATAACCGGGTGGATGTACCTCAGAGATTGTTGTACAGCCATCAGGAGCAACAGATGAGATACACACATATTAACAGGAATGGATCTTTAAAAAATAATCCCTAGTAAAAACGTAAATAACAAGAGATACGACAACATCCCATAAAAATGCATGCTCAAAAACCAACAATATGTATTTTAGAAAAACACATTCAAACAAAGATGGAAAGCATTGAAAGTGGTTGCCTACATATAAAAAGGAAGTGGGGATGAGAGAGAAAACATTTTATTTTTAAAAGTGTGATTCCACAGAGGGGAAAAGCACAGCCTAGGGAATAGAGTCAATAATAGTGTAATAATTTTGTGTGGTGACAGATGGTGACCACACTTATTGAGGTCAGCTCTGAGCAATGCACACATTTGTCAGATCACTATGTTGTGTACCTAAAACTAATATACCGTTGTAGGTCGGCTATACTTATATAATTAACATTTTTTTTTTCCAACGTTTATTTATTTTTGGGACAGAGAGAGACAGAGCATGAACGGGGGAGGGGCAGAGAGAGAGGGAGACACAGAATCGGAAACAGGCTTCAGGCTCTGAGCCATCAGCCCAGAGCCCGACGCGGGGCTCGAACTCACGGACCGCGAGATCGTGACCTGGCTGAAGTCGGACGCTTAACCGACTGCGCCACCCAGGCGCCCCAACATTTTTTATTTTTATTTATTTTTATTATTATTATTTCTTTGAGAAAGAGCGCATGTGAGCAAGGGCAGGGTAGATGAAGAGAGAGAGAGAGAATCTTAAGTAGGCTCCATAACGAAACCTTTTTGTAACCTGAAGTCTTCGTGGGGAGAAGAGTGTATTGGCAGCTTCTTCTGTGTTGTCCAAAGACCTTTGTGCAACTTCGTTTTCAACGGCTGCATAGTTTCCCTTGAACGGATGCACCATCACTAACGCAGCCAACACCCTTCCGCTGGACATGAGTTGTTTCTGAGCGTTGCTACCCCAAGTGTGGCAGGGAACAAACCTAAGCTACCTACTCTTGAAGACGATTTCCTGTCCTTCCTTTGGCTCGTTTTTAAAGGAGGTTTAAGGATCGGATCTGAAACTTGTCTAATATGTAAAAATTCACCGGGCGTCATCGAAAGTCAGAACAGCAGATCCCCCGAGAGCTGTTCTGGGGCCAGTCATGAATGACAATGAAGGAACAGAGTCACCCCCCAATGTTTGGAAGCAGTCATTTTAGGTACTTGTCACGGTGCCAGAGGACAATACGGGCTCCCCGGTTTCTGTGTTTCAATCAACTGATGCACAATTAAATCACACAAGGTGTTAAGGGAGCAGGTGTGGGACGTGTCTACTACCTCACGTGTCGTTATGATACGGGCTGGTGGTGAAATAGGGTTTTTAGAGTATTGCAAGGATATCGCCGCTTACGCTAGGGGGCACGAAAGTCGGTTCCTGAATTTACATCCAGTGCCAAAGGAGGGAACAGGGCAAGCCAGCCCAAGGGAAAGCAGAGTGTGTTTTTCTGAGTGCTTCCTACTCCCTAACACACCCCAAAACTAGGTTTTAAAGACTTAATTTGATCCTTCCAGTTGGTGGGTTTAAGCATCAGAAATCCAGCGCCAGTGCTTATTCAGGCCTTGATAGTTAAGAGCTGGCCAGCAGCCGCACAGCCGGCTTGTCAAGGCCCCAAAGAAGCAGCCTTGATGTTGGAGACAGCCACCTTCGTGGCAGGAATGCACTAACATTTCAGATCATTAGTGCGGCATTTGTTATGTTCGGTAGCAGAAAAAATGCTCCTCTGTCTTTCCTGACTAGTCCTTTGTTGTTAAGAAGCTTTGAGCAGACACAGCCATTGCTGCAGCCTGTTTGGAAGCTCTTGAATGTATTTTGCAGCCCACGTATATAGTCACATACAGCCCTGTTCCAAAGAATTAGTGCCGGGCCGTACTGTGCTTTTGGCAGACAAGGTAAGCCTCAACATGAGTTACAGTTGATAGGGCGAGGAAGGCTCAAGGCAAGGCTTACAGAAATCCCTTCAGTGGCCCTGCTTAAAAATAGCAGCGTAGGCCATAGCTTAGTGTTTTGACAGCTTATATCAGCAGTTTTCTCGGCTGATATATTGATTGCAGTTTGGACTTCAGTCCTGCTGATCTAATAAAACATCACCGTCATAACAGAGAAAGTGAAAGGATCTTTTGTGGTCCCAGCCACTGGGTGAGGTGGCTTCACGGAGCCACTGTAAGGCCGGTTTTCCTGTCCTATGGAAAATGAAGAAACAGTGGATAAGTTGACGGATTAGATCCAGGTTGTTTTTTTTTTTTTTTTTTGATTATTTCATTTCTTCGTCTATCAAAACATGTTGTCTACTAACACTGTTCTCTACGTGTTGACAAATGCGCGTTTGTTCGAAGGATTATGATGATGCCTTTGCAAATAGCTCGAACAGATTCGTTTCGTTGCATAGCAGTATCACGAATGGCCTAATCATGTGTCAAGACCCGCAATACTCATTACACTAAGTGGTGGGGGCGTGCCGCCTGGGTGGCTCAGTCGGTTAAGCTCTAACTCTTGGTTTGGGCTCAGGTCACGATCTCACGGTTTGTGAGTTCAAGCCCCAAGTCCGGCTCCGTTCTGACAGTGCAGAGCCTGCTTGGAATTCTCTCTCTCTCCCTCTCTCTCTCTGCCCCTCCCATGCTTTCTCTCTCTCTCTCTCTCTCTCTCTCTCTCTCTCTCTCTCTCTCAAAGTAAATAAATAAACTTTAAAAAAGAAAAAGTTAGCTGAAGTCTGGATTAAGCCTTTAAGACATAAAAAAAAAATCTTCTCAGGTTTTGAATGGATATTTTTAATATCTTGCCATCTCCTGGCCATCACTCTATTTACCTTAACTATTCTTATTCTCACAGCAACTGCTGACCATCCAGGAGGAGTTAAACAACAAGAAGTCGGAATTGGAACAAGCAAAGGAAGAGCAGTCGCACACGCAAGCATTACTTAAAGTCCTCCAGGAACAAGTAAGTGAACGCAACATCTCTGCTTCGTGCATACGCTGACGTGCACGTCGCACGTATCAGACACCTGTGCAGACTTTCCCGAAGTCAGTCTGTGGGACAGTCGGCCTGCGCCCTCTCAAACCCCCTGGCAGCTTCGCTCCGTAGAATCTAAAACCCGCTTTCGCTCTTGCACCTGCGGAGATCACCTGAGCCTGCCAGCGGTGTGTCAAAGTTCATTCCAAAAGACAAATGAATTTTGATAAAGTTTTAAACCACCGGAGGTACAGACGGATCCCCAAGCGAGCGGGTAGTTTCCTCTCAAGGATAAGAGTGAGGGAAATGTGTTTAGCATAACCCATGGCTTTCACGCAGACATCTGAATTGAGAACGACTGAGTCATGGGGACATTAAAAAAAGAGCCTTCCCCGTTTGTGCATCAGGGCACTTATCTAACCACAGTGAGCAACCAACCTTTTATATGAAGTTTGTAAATCTGATCGTTTCATCCTGGCTTTCTTTGATACTGAAGTGTGGCCTGACATTGATAAGTGGATTTGAAAGTATTGTCTTACAGCAGGGTAAGATGGATTGCTCAGCTGCAGAGTGAAATCTGAGTGAAATCTAAGCCCAGCACCTACACGGGAGAGCTCTTGAAATGCTTGCCTCTTTCTGGACTTCCTTGCTGCCAGCAATGTAATGAATGGTAACTGGGAGGGAGAAAATCACATAGCGTAACCCCAACCCTTTGGGGGGATCAAATTTAGCTTGTTTTACATTTCACACCCACAGTGGCTTATGAGAAGGTTATTTGTATAATATAAATAACTTCAGAAGTGTTGTATCTAAAAAAGTGACGTCGGGAGAATAGTCAGCTGTGACTCAAGTCACTTTACAAGTGATTTTTCGTTTTTCATGGTTTGGGGGCAGGAAAATGTAGTTTTGGTTAGTTTTCCCTAACAGTATAAGGGATTGGTGAGTAGGAAGTGAAGATGTTGGATACTTCATAAGCTTTTATAGCTTTGAAGGAGAATATAAAACTAATGATTATGTGATTAGTACAGATAAAATAATGCAGACTGAGGCTGAATCTACTGTGTGATTTTGGAGCAATTAGACTGAGCTGAAAACTACTGACAAAATTCGCAGCGACCTGCCATCCAGGAGACTCGGAGTCACCGGGCTTTCCTCCTCTACATTACAAAGAGACTATCAGCATCGTGATGCTGTTTTGGTCCATATTTGCTCCTGATCAGACATAGCTCTGAGCCTTGTCGTTTTGTTCTGACCCCCTCTCTCCTCGATTTGCTGGGATGGGGAGGGATGGATTTGTCCTTTCTCCACATGACTCAGATCCTTTACGTACATGGTCTCTTTCGACATAATGCTATTGCCCACTTAATAGACGATAGTGAAAACGTAACTTTTTATTCACCGGAAAGCCAAAAAAAAAAAAAAAAAAAAGTCAGTTGACTCACTTTATTGCAATTTTCTGGAGCCAAACCCACAACACCTCTAAGGTATGCGTGTTTTGGACTTGAAGTCTAAACCCCAGTCATAAAGAAACAGATTCTGAGTTTCGCAGAAAGCACTGGTACGTTCTTGTTGCGGCATGCACTTTTAGAGGGCAAAAAGTGCACGCACAGGCAGTGGTGAAGCATCACACTTCCATCCTATTACTTAAACAGGGAACATGAAGAAGATTCAGAACAACTAAAATCATTAAAGAGCTAGAAAATCGGACCAGGAAGGAATCGTGTTTCAGTCTGCTGTACTAATTTAAACGGGACCGCTCTTTTCAAACAAAGGCATCAGAAGGACACGTGTCTGAGCAGGCCGGGGACACACTGCAGCCACGTGCATTTGGCTGCCGTAGCCACCGGCAGTCTATTTTGTGACATCCTCTAGCCCGGAGCCCCTGTCATCCTTGCGGTTGGGAGCACGCATTGGCCGTGTTCCTTCCATCTCCTTGCAGCCACCCCCACGCCGCGGACAGACATACACTTGCAAAGGCACCTGTGTACTTCCAAGAACATTGCCCGATAAGGCTTCCTTTGGACTTATGTAGAGTAACTACGTGTGTAAACACTTCTTCAGTGCCTGCATACATAAGGCCTACACAAATAGCATCGCTCCTGGACAGTATGGCTGCGCGGGCTTAGATGCTGTCTCACACACACACACACACACACACACACACGCGAGAGAGGAAAAGATCCACCTTTTTCTGAAGACTTGGTATTCTGCTATTTAAAGTGATGCCACGTGATGGGAATCCTAAAAAGCAAGACTAGGTTGTGAGGGAAGGCCCTTACCATCCCCATTCAGGGAAGGCAGGGTTATTCCCTAGGCTCCCCAGAAGGTCCCCGGCCCTCCTTGTTTGCTAGGACGCGGCTCCTCCGGGCCCCTCCCGGGCCCCCTGGCTCCCGCCCCTCGCCTCCTGTGCCACGGTGGCAGCGTCTGGCGCTTGTTCACAAGCCCAGGTGCCCTCAGACGGGACGCTCCTCTGCTCCGCCTGGAGGAAGCGAGTAGCTCGAGGAGAGGAGGACAGGGAGAGGCCGGTGAGGGCAAGGCAGTGGCTAGCCCCCCCCCCCCCCCCGCCCCCGTGGCGGGGGGGGCGGGGGGGGGGGGGGGGGGGGGTGGGGGGGGGGGGG